AATTTCAGCTAAACCTTCAAACACAACTCTTCACTTTCAACTTCCTGAGGAAGAATCAATTGGCTGTCAAGTTTCCCAGAGCCTCTGCCACCTCCCACACCCAGGCCCGGACAGCTCTCCTCAAGGTCGATGGGAGGGGCCAGGGGCAGAGGAAGGAGGGAGGAAGGAGGGAGGAAGCCCACACCAGGGGAGGTTGGGCCTGGGGAGGGTGGCGGGCTGAGGGGACCGGTAACGGTCACCATCTCCTTAACTCCCAAATCAGACTGAATTCCTCGAACACGTGGTGGCAGGTGAGAGGGGGCAGCCTGCTGCTGCTAAGGGTCCCTGGGCTTCAAGAAGAGGGAGGGGTTCATGCAGAGCCCCTGGACCCAGCCTGACAGTCTGTGCAGATCCAGGCCCCCAGCTCGCTACCTGCCTGCCCTCCCCTACCTCTGACCCTCTCTCGCTTCCAGGATTCCCTGCTTGCTGCAGAGAAGACAGACATGGGTTCGAATCTCAGCCTCGCCATCTCTTTGGAGCCCAAGAGCTGAAGGCGGGAGATGGGTGGGAGGTCCCTTTGGTCACCTGCTCCCAGCTCCTTCCCCATCCTGCCCTCATCCAGGGGCCCCCACAGCTTTCAGGGTGCACCCACTAGGCCTGCTAGCACCCAGTGGCCCCGGGGAACCATTCCCCCACCCCCCAACTCTACCTGTAAGTAGAAGGAAGTTGTGCCAGGTAGGCAAAAGGTTCCATATCTTGCCCAGGTCACAAAGCTGGCATGAGGCTCAGCCCCAGGTCTGTGGACTTTATGGCTCATTCCCTTGTACCGCATCAAAGTGTTTAAGCGCCTACTGTATGCTCAAAACTCAAAGTCACTCCCCCCCTTTTACAGAAGGGTAAACTGAGGCTTTCCCAGGGTCCCATGGTCTCCAAGAGGTAGAGGTGGGAGCAGCACTGAGCCCGATGCCCTGTGGGGTGACTGCAGTCCCAGGCTGACTCACAAAAGGGGTAAAGGCCGCATGTGAGGGTGCAAACAGCCCAGACTCAGAAGCCCTCCCAGCTGAGTGGCGACCTGGTCAAGTCTGGCCCCTCCTGGGCCTCAGTCTGCATGAAGGAGGTGGATAGAGTGAGTGCCACAGACCCCGACGGGATTCTCCATTAAACTACACCACTGCCAAGGGGCACCGCTGTGAGAGGTGGTGACATCTCGTCACCCTGGTTTGAAATGGCGGCGAAGACGACAGTTATTCAAGTACATCCTGTGACATCTCCCCTGCCTCCTCCAGGCAAAACCATGTTCCCTGCGTTCCTTCAGGGGGCTACACAGAGCAGCAGTCAGCGAGCGCATGAGGATCTGGCTTGTGGGAGCACACGGGGGTAAGTGCAAGTTCAGGCTGCAGGGGAGAGGGTGTGCTTCTGGTCCTGCACAGGGTCCGTGTCAAGCCTGTCCCTAAGGCCCAGGTCAGGAGCACCTCTGACCTTCCCCCAAGCACCTGGTCCTCGCCCTCCACCCCAACCCTCCCCAGATCTTTACTGTCCTGGAGCCAAAACAGGAAATGCAATTCAGATGATAATGGTGGATTTCATGGGGTAAGCATCTACCATGGGTCAGACCTGGGCTGGTGTGTACACACACAGGTCCACCAAGTCCTTCAAGGAAGGGCAGTCATTCCCTGCCCTTTACTGATGAGCACACATGGCTCAGACAGGTTGAGTGACTAACGAGGTCACAGAGGTCATGCAAGAGCCGGGATTTGAACCCAGATCCCCACCTCTGAGCTCCCTAGTCCCCCCCCAGCTCTGAGCACCGGCCCAGGATAGAAATTCGACTCACGCCCCTTTCCTTAACTGCTGCACACAGAAAAGGACAAGGTGCCGAGCAAAAGGATACAAAAAATAGATGTCCGGCCATCCTAGTATCCATGCCAGGCTCTGTCACTCAAGAGCTGTGTGACACCAGGCAAACAACTTCACCTCTCTGAGCCACAGTTCCCTCATCTGTGACTGGCAGACACTAATGGTACCTCCCTCGGGGTTGCTGTGAGAAGTGGGTAAAATGACAGCTGAAAACACTTTCCATCCTGCAGACGCTAATCTCATGGGACAGTGAGTTGGGGGCCTGGTGGCTCAGAAGGCTGGCTCTGGCTCTGAGCCACAGGTGGTTTCCATACCAGGAAACATAGTGAAGATGACACTACAGAAAAAAAGCCAAGCCTAGCTGGCAATTAAAGAACTGCAAATTATAGCAACCTCGAGGTGTGATGATACACCTATTAGAGCAGCAAAAGAAAGGGAAGCGGGTAGAAAGTGATGCTGAGGGGGTTCTGGGAGAGTGTGGGGGAAGGGTACCCCTCCTCTGGTTCCAGTCCAGCCAGAGGGGTGCAACACGCTCCTGCACTAGGGTCAGGGAGACCTGAGTCCAAATCTTGGCTGCACCATTATGAGCACTTGGAGCTCGGGCGAGGGACTTCACCTCTCTGGGCCTCAGTTTTCTCATCTGTAAAATGGGGTGATGAAAGTATCAGCTTCAGGGTTGTCTCAAGGTTTAAAAGAGATCGAATAGGTAAGACCGTGAACATAGTACAGGGGGCTACATTATGATTAGTCATCGTTCCCTAAGGCATCCTGAAGGCTCAGCCCTGGTGCCTGTGGCCCTGGGGGTCCAGGAAGGGCAGGACTTGGCCTCTGCGCCAGCTGATTCGATCAGGGTCTCTCAGGTGCCAGCCTCCTGATCCTCCCCACAGCTGGAGACCATCTCCCAAGGGCCCTGGTCTCACCCAGGGAGGTGACCAGGAATCCTTCCTCAGCACAGGTGTCCTCCTTCTCACTGCCTGGAGACTGATCTGACCCAGAGCCTAGGGCTCAGGACTACCTCTTTTATGAGCTTGTTAAAAATGCAGATATCCAGGCTCTGCCCCTGGCCCACTGCACTGAAATCTTGAGGGGGCCCAAGGATCTCATTTTGAGAGCATTTTTATGACACACAGAAAGCAGGAGAATCAGTGGCCCTGGGGAAAGCCCCATCCCCTTAGCTGAGGACTTGAGGCGCCACCTGATCCGGACCTGGCCCATCTTCCCAGCCTCACCTCCTACCCTGACCTCCAGACCCCTCATCTCCAGTCCCACCAAGCATTTCACCATTCCACAAACACATCAATTTCTAGTGTGCTTCCATGCCTGCTTCCATGTTTTTGCAACTGCCATTCCCCTTACCTGGAACTCCCTCTCTGTCGCTGCCTGCCCCATTTCTAAGGAACCCTTCAAGACCCAGCTCAAAGGTGTTCCCAGGGAACACCTTTCCCAGCCCACTCTCACCTCACCTGGAACCCCCATATCACACTGGATGGCAACAGCCAGGCCTGTGCCCTCTCTGTTCCCTCCATCAAAACCTTCTTTCCGGCCTTCCCAGGTGGCGCAGTGGTTGGGAGTCCGCCTGCCGATGCAGGGGACACG